GGGACCAGCTGCTAAATGTAGCTCACGCCATCCCCATAGCTGGGCACCTAGGGGTGGCGTGAACTAAGTCTCGCTTGTCCCACCATTTTTATTGGCCTGGTATGGGCACAGATGTGGCAAATTATTGTCGTTCCTGCCCTGAGTGTCAGAGGGTGGGAAAGCCTGGGGAAGTGGGTAAGGCCCCCTTAATACCCCTTCCTATAGTTGGGGAACCATTTGAGAGAATAGCTGTGAATATTGTCGGTTCCCTTACCATTCCCAGTAGTTTGAGTAAAAGCGATATATATTAACCATGGTAGACTACGTCACTCGCTACCCAGAGGCAGTAGCCCTATCATCCATCACTAGATTCTGTGTGGATTACCGGCGGTTGAACCTGGTAACTGCATTTGATGCATATCCTATGCCACGCATTGATGCACTGCTAGACCAACTAGCTGGAGCTAAGTTCCTTAGCATTATGGATCTCAGCTGAGGGTACTGGCAGATCCCCATGACCCCTGAAGCGCATGAAAGATCACCCTTTATCACTCCCTTTGGGCTATATGAGTTCCAGGTGATGCCCTTTGGGATGAAAAATGCCCCTGCCACCTTCCAACGTCTAGTTAATCACCTGCTAGAGGGACCGGAGGGGCATGCGGTAGCATATCTGGATGATATTGCGGTGTTCAGTGATACTTGGGAGGAACACCTGCTCCATTTAACACAAGTTTTGGACCGCATAGCAGCAGCTGGGCTCACCATAAAACCAGATAAGTGCCAACTGGGCATGACAGAGGTTCAGTACCTGGGGCATAGAGTGGGAGGGGGGACGCTTCGCCCTGAGCCCAGTAAGTAATGGCCTGGCCTGCCCCCCAAACCAAAAAGCAGGTGATGTCATTACTGGGTACTGCAGGGTATTAAGGAAGTTTGTACCACATTATAGTACCCTGGCCAAACCCCTAACCGATCTCACTAAGAAAGCACTCCCACAAGTGATTAAGTGGACACCTGAGTGTGAAGTGGCCTTCAACTCCTTAAAACAGGCCCTTACTGATTCTCCCATACTACAGGCCCCTAATTTCCACAGACGGTTCTTAGTTCAGACCGATGCCTCTAATTATGGCCTGGGAGTGGTGCTGAGTCAGGTGGATGAGAAGGGGGATGAACATCCTATTGTGTATCTCAGCCGGAAGCTGCTACCTAGGGAAGTGGCCTATGCCACTGTAGAAAAAGAGTGTTTGGCCATAGTTTGGGCCTTGCAAAAACTACAACCGTACCTGTACGGGCGCCAGTTAACTGTGATTACCGATCACAATCCCCTACGTTGGTCACATAGGATGGCTGGGACCTATGGGGAAACTCCTCAGGTGGAGTCTGGTTCTCCAGCAATATGAGTTTACCATACAGCACATGAAGGGAAGTACACATGGCAATGCTGATGGTTTGTCCCGCCAGGAGGAAGACTCCACCTAATGCGCAAGGTCGAGGCATAGGAGCCTCCTCCCATTGCTTCTCTTATTTGGTGAGGTGTCACGGCAAGGGTGTATAATTTATTGTTGCACCCTTGGAATATTATCTTTTAATGTAATTTGTGTAGTAAATGGCACAGGTTGCACAGATGTTATTGCTGAGGTCAACAGGGGTTACATCTTTTGAAGCTGGGACCCCCCACAGAGGTCAGTTGACAGTTGGCTCCCAGACTTGGTGTGATCTTCCTTGGGGAAGGGGGATTATTATTATGCGGCCTGTGTTTTCTTTCCTGACTACCAGCGGATATACCGTGATTATACTGCTATTCCACTACAGTGAGTAATAAGGACTTTTGTATTTTATCCTTTTTGTTTTTATCTGTTGTTGGTGTAAATAACTTGTTTATCATATATTGTTATATGCACTGTGACTATTCTTTGTTTATAATAAACATTTATGTATTAAGTTCTGCATTTGTCTGATTAAGAATCACGTTACCTGAAGAGACTAGTTATTACTTTTTATAATTCCTTAAATATTGTACTAAGTAATACTTGGTGGGATAGTAATAGTTATATTATTATGTTTAAGTGTGGGTGGTGTTAAGAAGAGGGATTTTGTCATTATTTCCTGTCTAGTGAAGACAATTAGTGTATTTTAACCGTTTTACCATCACAACTACGTCACGCAAACTCTTGGAGTAGGGTGCGTTTGTGACACCCTACATCTACTTGTCTGATTTTTAGGAGAAAATCTTTGGTGTCTTGAATAGACTTCCCAAATGTCACCAAGGGCTGTAAGAACTGATCTATAAAGATAGCCAAGGGTTGAAAAATAGAATCTGTGCCAGCGACTATAGGGAGGCCAGGTGGAGGAAGAGCATCTTTGTGCACCTTTGGTAAGGTACAAAAAACTGGTGTTCTTGGGAATTTATTAATAAGAAAGGAAAACTGGGAGATGTTAATTAACTCATCCTTAAGGGCCTGCTCCACTACAGTCAGAATGATTTTGGCCACATGGGCAGTAGGATCATTCTTCAGTATCTTATAATTGTTCCTATCCATCAGTTGCCTCATGATCTCATCATGATAGTCCTGTCTATCTTGTATCACAATTAAGCCACCTTTATCAGCAGGCTTAACTATGATGTCAGGATTCTGTGAGATTTCTTTGAGTGCATTTCTTTCTGTCAAGGTCAAATTATGTTTTATATTCTGTTGTTGCCAGGGTAATTTTTCCACATGAGAGTTTACTATATTACAAAAGGTCTGAATGGTGGGGTTAGCTACAACTGGGAAAAAGGTACTTTTCTTTCTACAAACCTCCAAATTCGGTGCATAGTCAGACCAAGTGCCCCCTGGGATATCATCTCCCGGAAGAGGGTTGTCTCCCTGGCTTTGGGGTTGATGGCCTGAAAAAAAATGCACGCAGGTTATTTAAACGAAAAAACTTTTGTAAATCAATTTTACAAGAAAATAAATCAGATTTAAAAGTAGGTACATTTGAGCCTAGTGCAGACATTTGATTGGTATCAAGTACTGTTTCAGAAAGATTTAATACTCCTTGTCCTTGTGACTCTTTTTCAGAGTCTCGCTGCGAGTTTGTAGCTTGTTGCTTTTTCCTGAAGTCTCCCCTGTTGCCCCTTCTTGTGTGGGGCGTACCCCTTAAAAAGGACGTGTAGTTGTGCTGGTAGACGAGGCATCTGAGTCGGATCCAGAGGTAAATGTCTCCTGTGAGGAGGTAGGGCCCTGTTTTCTTTGTAATGAGACAGACTCTAACAGTATGTTTCATGTGAACAGTTTTCATTACCCTAAACAGATTTCCTCTATCCCATACAGTCAGTTCCTGCGGGTTTGACGCATTGTTAATGATGAAACTATAATTAATGAATGACATGTCTGACTTCTCACAAAAATTCTTGGGCAAGGGTTACACTAGCCTTATCCAGAAAGCGAAGCGCAAAGCCTTCTTTCAACACCTGATAGACCCAAACACGATAGAATCCCTTTTGTAAGTACTTAGTCATCACTTACATCCCAAATTCAGAAAATTGTATCTAAAAAATTTTTTTGTTGCAATAAGACAGGCAGATTGGACATCTTTTCAAAAATCCTCCATTATTTACCAATAAACGGGGTCGGTCCATAAGAGATGTGGTAGTGTAACAAACCACCTCTTTTACAGGTAGGATTTTGTCACAGATCTTACAATAAACCACAGCCTTCTAGGGTATACAAAATCCAGGACACATTCAGTTCGGTTTTCCTTTTTTTATTTGATAGGAAAAACAGCTGCTTTAAATAATAATAAACAAAACAAAATTCCTTGCTCTTACTTGAGCTCTTACTAGACAGAAATCACTGTCTGTAATTGGGTGGCTTTCCCACTTACCAATTTACCCAAAAAAACGAAATAGCTTTGCAATAAACACAATTGTTGCGTTCTCTCTCCTTCAGCTCTCCTAGCTGGCTTCTTCTCCCTCACTCTGCAGCAGGCTGATCTCTTCTTTTAAAGGCCTGTCTACTAATTGACCAGCTACAGGTGAGTGCCAATTAGTTAACTCTTAAGTTAAATCCAAATTATGGTCTGTTACACAACAACTAGTGCTGTTGGAGCATTGGCCCACCCTGCTCTCCAAATGCTCTGCCCCAGGGACCCATACCATGTTTTGCAGAACATCAGCAATGTATATTGCAAACTTTGACATCTCTCCCTGGGGCACTTAACTGAAAATTCTCTGGTTGCTGTTTAGCAAATCAGGCCTGATGTATCTTCCATCAACCACTATTCCACTCTTTCGCTCACAGTAGTGAGGGCAGATACTGCGCCCCACAAGACACAGATATTTCTTTCCAAACCTGTATATGGCAAGTACCCCTGTCTCAGCTGCAACCATTGTAGCGGGGTTATTAAAGGAGAATTCTGCACCCATCCTAGGACAGGTCAACAGATCAATAGATCAAATTAAAAGGGTTCTTTACATGCCAAACAGACTTTGTAGTCTGAACAAAAAGATCTGGTATGCCTAATGCAACACACAGGAATGGGGGACTCTTGGATGGTCACTCAAAACTGGATGAAAATAGGGTTTCATCCAAAGATAAAATGAAGGGTAACACCCTAAGTGCAGTGTACGTGATCCAGGAGCTGACTTGCAAAAAATGGCTAACATATAAAAATAGTGATCTATTGGTAATGTGGAAATATAAGTAATAAATATAAAAAAAAGTGATAAAAATTCTTTATCTAAGATAGAGTGCAACCAATGTGTATGGTGTGTATACCTTTAAAAACTGCTATAGGCAGAATATATGGAATAAACATCAAGTTATATACTTTTAGTGAAAAGATATAAACCTTGTAAGGCAAAAGAAACAGTATGTGCAAAAACTGATTCCTGCAGTGCAATATAATTGTTATATCGCTGTAAAAAGCCACTAGAACAATAATTGAAATAATAAAAACTGGGTGAAGATAAAAACCAGTTTATTCACAATTTAAAAATATATATAGATAAAAAATATAAGTCAGGAACGAAATCCAAAATGGTTACCAGCACAGTGGATGTGAGTGATAGGAGTCAGCCTCAAGGACCGGTTTGGATGGCTGCGGATGGTGTAAACACTTTCCTCTTTCCAGCTGCCGGTAAAGACGGCGTGCGTCTCAGACCTCGCTCTGAGAGGTGAATATTGCAGACCTCCCGGTCCGGGACTGTAGAGGTTTCGTGGTCAAGTTGTTACTCCACTGGCTGGAACATAGGTGGAATCTGTAACCTGCTTGTTTAGTATGACCCGTTTCGTGGGAGTCAGCCCCACTTCTTCAGAGACGGAATACTGTATCGTGTTCGAGTGGCAGTTTAAATACACTTTCAATTGATGGTCAATAAACATACAATTACATAAGTTTGAATGGTTATTAAATAATAAAATGATACATCTTCAATAAACAAAGTAATATCAGTAGTGGCAATACAGAAATAACGTTCGGTTAAACATAGCAGCAATTTGATATAGCGGACATTAAGTCAAAGTGACATAGTGATTCTTCTATAATTCATTTGGTGAGTGAAATTTGTACAGTAGTAAATTAGTTAATTGATATTAATTGAGCATAAATAGAAGTATAAAGCAGCAGGATTCTATAGTGAGACTTAGAATGGAAAATAAGTGATAAAAATAGATGATGAAAATAGGAGTAAAAATGAATTTAGAAGGAAATCCAAGAATAATAAAGATAAAGATAAAAGCAAATGATAAAAGAACGGAATAAAATAAAATTGAAGAAAATGAGTAATATTGAATAGTAGTATGAGTGAATACATTGTTCTAATATATAAGATATAGGATGTGAAAAATAAATTAAAGTATGATATGAAGATAGAGTCGGAATAGAAATCAAATAGATCCCTATATGCATGGAAGTCCCAATTTGGTTGATATACTGGATTTTGAATAACCATCTGGCAATCCGAGCAATCTCAAAGAGTAAATGAATAAGTGAACAACTGAATGGATAAATAGACCAGTCATCTGATGTTGTAATATGTGCTCCAATCATTCCAAAATAACAGAACTAATGTATAACTGTAGGTGATTGAAGATACTTCACGTATTAATTCAAAGCTAGACACACTATAAATGTAAACTGTATCTGATGGTGTAACATAGGATCGTCCAGCATTTGTGAGATGTCTTTAGATACAACAATCATAAATAGAAGGAAATAAAAAATAAAATATATATACATTAAAATTGTATGAGGATGATTTCTATGTTCATGATGGTAGATGGACTCTAAAATATAAAAAATAAAAAATATAAAAATATAAAAAACAGACATGTTATTGCATTCCTAATGAAAACATATGCAGAATATAATAAGAGCGATAATAGAATAGATAAGAGAATATGAGACTAGTAGTTAGATAATAAATCTCCAGATCCATTGAAAAATATGAAAAATATGAAAAAAAAAATATATATGTTGAATTTCACTGTGTGAAATGATCTATAAAAAAACATTGAGCTCAAAGTCCACGTTGAGTCCTTTAGGAACAAGAGTCTCTAAGTGGAAAATCCAACTTGCTTCTGTTTGGTCCAGATTTTTTTCCATATCTCCTCCTCTCCAGTGTACATTCACTTTTTCAATAGGTAAAAATCTCAATCCCGTAGGATCACCTCCATGGAATTCTTGAAAATGCTTGGAAAGGTTGTGTGTCTACAGTCCTTTTTCAATGTTTTGGATATGTTCTGCGATCCTGGTTTTCACAGATCTCTTAGTCCGCCCCACATATTGTTTGGGGCAGGGGCATGTGATCAGGTAAATTACTCCTACTGTGTTGAAATTCATATTAGTTTAAAGATTATATTCCTTCTTGTTGGTTGAGGATGAGAATTTTGTAATCTTTGTTTCCAAAGAGGGATTGTTTCTACATGCCCTACATTTAGAACATCTTCTGAAACCTTTAGAGGATCCTTGATCTTGGAGGTTTGTTGAAGTTTTAATGGTGGGAGCCAGCATAAGCTGTAAATTGGGCGCCTTGGTAAAGATGATTTGAGGTTTATTCCCAAGACATGTGGAGAGTGCGGGATTGTTTCTAAGGATTCCCCAATGTTTCTTGAAGATCTTTTCTATCGTCTGAGATTGATGACTGAATTTAGTAATGAAAGCAGGTGTCTGGTTAAACCTATCCAGGGTCTTGATACTATTTCATAGGGTCTCTTCTCTTGGAATGGGTAGGGCTTTCTTCTTGGCTTCTGTTAGTAATATTGTAGGATAGCCTTTCTCCCTGAATCTCTGTTGCATCTCCTTCATTTGTTCCTCCCAGTCTTCCATTTTTGAACAATTTCGTTGAATCCTCCTAAATTGATTGTGCGGTATATTCTTGAGCCAAGTATGTTTGTGGTGACTATTAAAAGGAATAAAACTGTTACAATCAACATTTTTCTGAAAAGTTTTGGTGTGCAGCCTTCCTTCTTCAATGTAGATGTTAAGATCTAAAAATTCAATCTGTTGTTGGGAATGATTAAAAGTAAACTTAAGATGGTACAGATTGTTATTGAGGTAGATTTTAAATTGTTCTAGGGATTCCAAGTCCCCTTTCCAGATGAAAAAACAGTCATTTATGTACCTCTGCCATAGGGACAGGTTCGTGCCAAATGGGCAATGGTCCCATATATACTCTTCTTCACTCTTAACTTCACTAGACGAGACTGGTCTAATATTAACAGTTTAAGGACAGACCGTTCAATTGTGCCCTAGTGATTATGGATTGGGCATATTACATTAAAGAAATAGAGACCCAGCTGAGGGACGATACAAGTTATCTGCTCATTTCACAAGATCCAACACATACATTGAAAAAGACATTGGAGACACTTAATAAGTGGGCCTTAGCAAAAGGGATTATTTCAGAAGGTGAATATAAGTATATGAATATTAAACATGCTTGGATACCCGTGTTCTATACTCTTCCTAAAATCCATAAAAAATCCATTATTCCCCCCAGGTAGGCCCATTGTAAGTGGTACCGGTTCTATTTTACAACGCCCAGCACAAGTCCTGGATAAATTTCTCATTAGATATGTGCCCCCACAAAAGTCTTACATTAAGGACACAACAACCTTTTTGAAGTTATCAGAGAGTATACATATAGCAGCAGGTGAATTTTGGTTAGTGACTATGGACGTTCAGGCACTATATACCTCGATAGATCACCAGAAAGGACTAGACGCTGTGGACTGGACACTTGATAGGGACCCTAACCTTGCACACCAGAGGGACACTAGAAAATATATAATTGATCTTTTTAGATTTATTCACACAGAGAATTATTTTCTCTTTGGGGATAAATATTATAAACAAATTAAAGGTACAACAATGGGCTCTAATGTCGCCCCAACATACGCTAATATCTACATGAACCAGTTGGAAGAAACATGTATCTATAATCATCCCCTCTACGCCAAATGTTTGGTGTGGAGGCGGTATATCGATGATGTGTTTGTATGTTGGGGTGGCAATAGAGCCCAATTACAAGAGTTTTTTAATTAATTGAATGAACAAGATTCTAATATCAAATTTACTATGTATTATGACAAGGTAACAGTTCCATTCTTGGATGTCCAGGTACAAAGAGTAGATGATCATTTACATAGCGATCTTTACACTAAACCGACTGATTGGAACAATCTACTCCGAGAGTTATCATCCTACCCATTTAAAGAACGGGTTGCCATATAGTCAACTATTGAGAGTCAGGAGGATTATTTCCCAAGAAGAAAAAGTTGTGTCAGGGATAGATTTTATGTCTCAGAAATTTATGGAGAGGGGTTATCCCACACAAATTATTCAGACACAAAAGGATAAGGTTCAAGGCTTAACTCGTCAGGAAGCCCTGTATGGCTCCCCAAGAGATAATACAATGGATAGAATAGCATTTATATCCCCATACACTCCACTTAACAAACAGATACGTAGAATTATACTTATAGAACTCTTTGCAGGAGATACTCAATTGCCTTTGGAATTTCAGAACCCGCCGCTTTTTTCATATCAAAGGGCATCCAACTTGAAAGATTTATTAGTTAAATCGGATATTGGCAGTTCTAAGAGGCAGATTTCGTTTTTTTCAGAACCTTAGAAGGGCACTTTTCCTTGTCTAGGTTGCTCACACTGTAGTAGTGTGATAAAAGAGGAATATTTTGTCCATCCTCGATCCGGCAAGTAATTCTCTGTGAATGGGTTTTATACCTGCTATTCTGATTTTGTGGTGTATATCCTAAAATGTCTGTGTGGGTATGTTTAGGTGGGGGAGACCATCCGTCCCGTTAAAGAGCGAATAGGGGAGGACAAGAGGAGTATCAGGACAGCTTTACAGCGAGGAACTAGTGAAGCGCCGGTGGCCAGACACTTTGACTTGTAGTCTTCTTTAATGTGCGGCTGTCTGGCAATTTTCCAAGTGCCCATAAGCTTTTCTGGAGCTTTATGCTCCTTATTTACAATTTACTGCTTGCTCTTGTTCATTTTGATGAGTGTTTCGTTTTTTCCTGCTAGTATTATAAGCTTGTGCTCTATTTGCATTACTATACAGACAGTTTCCTGTTTACTGCTCTGTTTCCTAGCAACGGAATGTAATGATGTCACACACAATGGGCGTATCTGCTGACATCATCACACACAGACCAACTGAACCAGGAAGTAACGAGAGACTATGAACATGCTGGAAACATGGAGATTGTCAGTTTCAGCTGCTGTTAAATTGCATTATTGCTGAGGGTGGCACTCTTTTGCATGTGAGCATTTCTTTCACTTGTATATATTGTCTGTACTGCTTGTATTGTGTAGGACATTAGCACTGAGGAAGGGCTTGTTGCCCGAAACGTTTGTTTATATTGTGTCCTCTAATAAATTGCAGTAGCACCTAAGTGTGCACTACCTACTTGATGCTCCATTTTTTTGTCTACCTGCTTGTTACACTGTTGGAACTACAGTAAGGAGACCCTGCAGCTCAGTTTAACTGTTCATTACTGTGTTCTTTATCTTTGATAATCGGTGGGCATCATTGATGCCTCTGCCTCATCCTATGCATAGAAAAACATCAGCAGAGTGTTCCTGAATTTGTCTCTTGTAGCCCCATGTAGCCAAAGCACAGCTTAGTGGAAAAGGGCCTTGACAGAGGTTAGGAGGCGGGCTTAGGAGGAAGTGGCCAGGACTGGTGGATTGTGGGTAAGGGGTTTGGCTATTTAAATAGGTAGCCATTTTGTAAGTATCACTTTTAATCTCCTACCTGGTTAAGTTTGTGTGCACTCCTGTGCTTGCAGATTTAGTTGGGTAGGGCTTTACCTTTTTTCTTTTTCTGCAGGGCCATGGAGGATGTGGAGAGACTCCTGGAGGGGATCAGAGTGGCTGCGCGGCAACAGGGTGCGGACTGGCTGAGGGCCCAACTGGGGCCGGTCCTGGCGGCGGCGGCAGGAGCTGGAGACGGCCCGACAGGCGGGTGCGAGGTGGATGGCAGTAGCCGCGACAGGCCCGGCGACCAGGGCCTCGGCAGGGAGGTGGACGATGGGCGGTTGCCCAGGACGTCGGTGGCGTTGACCCCGGGTTGGACGGGGCCTCGCCGGATTCAGAGGCCGCGGAGGCGGCAGGACGGCCTACCGGAGTGCCGGGCGAGAAGGGGCTGCGGCCCAGGAGGGCGCCCCCTGCATCAGAGGCCGGGCCCAGAAGGAATGTCGCCAGGTCTGCACGGAGCAGACCACAGGGACACCAGGCAAGTGCAGGGGGTCCCTTCCAGGCCCCCCTTGGCAACCAACTTGGGAGTGGGGGCGAGCAGGGCCAGGAGAGCGGGTTGGGGGTGTGGGGGGGTGAGAGGTGAGAGGTATTCCCCTGGGTCACAGTGGTTGGGGATAGGGGGTCAGGGGGGGGCCCTGGTAGCTTCAGGGGGGCTGGAGAGGGGACTAGTGCCACTTCAGCTGACAGGGGAGCCCTGTCAGGTATCCAAGGGTCGTCTGGGGGGTCCTTAGCATAGCCAGGAGTGGGTGGGGAGCTGGTTAGAGCTGCCAGGGGTAAGTCAGGAGTTGAGAGGATCGGCAGAGCGGCGAGGGGACCTGTACTTGGGGGGCAAGAGGATTCCATCCAGGGGACAGGGGGTCATAGTGGAGACCCTGGCGGCCCAGGGGCTCTGTCCGGGGGGGCTAGGGGTCGGTCCCGTGATCATAAGGGTGGGGGCGGGGGGCGTAGGTTGAGTGTTAGGTCTCGTTCGGGGTCCAGCAGTGTTAGCCCCATGTCAGTCGGGAGCGGGGGCGAGCGTTGGGGGTCACGATGCAGGTCCACGTCAGGTAGCCAGGCGGGGGGGGTCGGGACCCCAGGAATGGTTTCAGGGGGCTGGACGTCCAGGAGGGGATCTAGGAGTCGTAGTCCCAGGGGCAGGAAGGACCAGGCCTTAGGTGCACCACGGCAAGGCAGGTCACGGCGGGAGGCCTTGGCGACTGGCAGGCGCTCCCTGGGGCGAGACGTGCGGGCGGGGGGCACGGGAACAGTTCACCCTGCTCAGGACTTCTTCTCCTCGTTTCAGGTCTCGGAGCCGATCCTCATCAGTGTTCTCGAGGCACCGGGCAGGCTCCCCGGTTGGCGGGAATCGGGTGGAAGTCATGCATCCAGGACGACCAGCAGCTGGCGTAGCAGCCCCGGGTGCCACTGGATGAGTGGCTTGGTCGGTGAGTGTGGCGGATCTATGCATCCCAACGCTTTAGTACACGCACTGCAGTCACTACTCCACTCATTGGGAGCGGGGGGTGCCACGGGGGATAGTGTGGGTCAAGTTTGGGCGCAAGGGGCAGCAGTCACGGGAGCGAGCGACGGGGTCGCGGCAGCGTCGGGCGTCGGCGGAGACTCCAGGGTGTCACCAGCGCAGTGGACACGGGGTCCAAGCGGGCCGAGCTGACAGCTGGGGTGCCGGATGTGGCTAGGCACCACGCTTACGTGTCGTTCGCGGGTCCGCTGGGGGTCCATCTCAAACAGGAGGTCAAGGACAAGATTTGGGGGGGTGAATTTTGTGAGATCTTCTCCCTTCTTCCTTTGGAGGACTATATTGACCTCAAGGAAGAGGATAAGAAGGACGAAAAGAAAGAGGAGGAGGAAAAGCGGAAGCGTTATCACAAGATCCCGAAGTCTTTCGGGAGCTGGTTGAGGGTGTTCTGCGTCTTGGCCAGCGTGATTGGCGAGAAATCGCCAGGATCCTGCTCCTCCCTGTTCTGCTATTTGGATGGGATTTGGGAAGCGTACCGCCACCAGGTCAGCCCCCCGTAGGTGCGGTACAGTTCCGGCAGCGGCTCGTGGCCAATCCGGGTATGAGGTGGGACCAAATGCGGCTAGGCACGGGTCCGCGGGGGGTCCATCTCAAACAGGAGGTCAAGGACAAGATTTGGGGGGGTGAATTTTGTGAGATCTTCTCCCTTCTTCCTTTGGAGGACTATATTGACCTCAAGGAAGAGGATAAGAAGGAAGCTCTGGATGAAGCTTATGATGGCGCAGAAGGCGCAGCCCTTTCAGAACGCGGCTGGCGCAAAGGGTCAGTCCGCCTCGTCGGCCGCTTCACAAAAGGATATAGTAAAAAATAGATGTGCTGTGACAAAGGCGCTTAAACAATGTGAATATTATAAAATACACAATACAATAAATAGCAGCTTACACACCAAAAGTAGGAACTCTTCAACCTACTTATAATCAAGTGTATAGAAAAACACACGTTAGTGCAAATACATGCAGACAACAGTGCAAAGGTGGAGCGCTTAAAGATAAAAATGAAAACACTCACTTACTCCTGCAACTTTCAGGAGGTAATAAAAATATTGGTAATAGGGTCCTTTAAATCGCCATATCCAACAGGAGACTTCAGAATGGAGACAAAAAAAAGGAAAAATAGGGAAACAGAGCTAACCCTAGTGCAGATATCCTTAATACAGTAGGTAATCAGGTGAACAAAATAACAATTTGCTTCTCACCTTGTCAGGAGCCTTTAACTGGGCTCCAAGTATACAAGCACAGTGTCAATTATAGAGTGACACTTCCCTTCTTGATAGCAACATAAATATATCACTAGACGACTTGGTAGCAGAAATAAACATTTATTACAACTTCTTTTAAAAACAAGTAAAATCTGTATACTCAAGTGTCAGTGGTGTGTCCAAGACGCGTTTCGCCGATATAACATTCGGCTTTACCAATTGATAAAG